AACTTCACCTCTTTGAGAAAAAGCAAACAAACAAAAAAATTAAAATAAAAAATAAAATATATTAAAAAAACACTATGGATCTTTTACAACAACATCCTCACAAACACTTAAAAGAGAACTCACAAATCCAACACGATAACCTGGTCCTGGGGGACCCGGTGGTCCAGGACGCCCAATTGGTCCCATGGGTCCTGGAAGACCAGCCAGTCCGGTCTCACCTGGTGGTCCTGGTAATCCAGGCTGACCAGGAGCTCCCTGTTAGAGACATTCATCATGGAGGGTTTTAAACTCCTGCTCAACAAATCWTGTATTACAACAAACTGGAGTCCAGTTTTTCTTTTCTGAAGAAATTAAAGGGAAATTCAATTTAATAAAGAATAATTAAATATTTCTTGTTAACAACAGGTCAAAATAATTCTACACCTGGTTGTGAGTTCATCTCTTTGTACTGAAACATGAGAAAAAACAAAATGAGTCTCCACCTTTTCTCCTATTGCTCCTGGAAGTCCCAGATCCCCTGAATCACCCTGGTGAAAATAAATAAAGCAACCAACATATCTGTCATTATCAAAAACAGGCAGGCCTCTAAAAACCTGATCCTGACTGAAATCAGCTCGATAATAACTGGTTTAGTAAAACACTTTGTATCAGCTGGTACTCAAGACCCAACATCCAGTTTCTGGGTTGAGAAAGGAGGACTGCTGCAACATGATTAAACCTACAGAACTGATTATAAATCTATTGCTAAGTTATTTTTAAATATAAGTTCAACACAAATTTAGAGAAGAAACAATCATTTCCATAAATTCATTACCTTTTCTCCCCTGGGCCCAGGTGCTCCCGGGAGGCCATCAGCACCCGGTAGACCCGGTAAGCCCTAAAGGTCCAAAGATTTGGTAGTTGATTTGGTTGGACTACATTCATTAATGTTACTGTTGAGGAGGTTTAGATGAGAAACTTTGGCACTTACGGGTTGACCAGGTGCTCCATCCTTGCCTGGAGGCCCAAATGCTCCAGAACTCAATGCTGGGCCTGATACAGGGGACCCAGGAGGACCTGGTGGTCCAGGGGGGCCTGGTGGACCGGGAGGTCCCTGTGTTGAAAGAAGACACATTTTGCTGCATCACATTTGGTTTTTAGCAGTGGTGGGCACCAGTCCACTAAAACGCAAATCCGCTAATTACGGACCTAAATAGCATTTTTGAAGTTGTGGACCTAAATATTTTTATAAGCTCTTTAGAAACTGCAGAGCTAATTTTTGGGTTAGCGCTGCCCACCACTGGTTTTTAGTTTTATAAAAAAGCCTCAGCAGAAAATCTTCTCACCTGAACCTTTTCCAGATCTGAGAATCCAGAGGCCTCCATGTCCTCAAAAGTCTGAAAAAAAAAGTTTCATTTTACAAAAAGAAAGTCTTCTCTGTTGGTTTAGATTCGTACAATAAACTCATTTCTGGGGTTAAACTGTAATCTTACAGAACTTACAGATCTGAATCCTGGTCCTGGAGGACCTGGAAGTCCTGGGGGTCCTCTGGGACCTGGTTGACCCTCTCCACGGTCACCCTGTGGGTAGAAGTCTCATTTAGATGAGGCAGATCTCAGCAGAAACAATGTTTTAAAACTGAACTTGTGTTTCTTTGGTCTTCATGTAGCTTACCTTTTCTCCTTTGGATCCAGGGTCACCTGGGGTTCCTGGGAACCCTGGTGGTCCCTGAGGGCCCTGTTTGAAAACACACACATAAAGTGAGGTCATTCTTTTTACTATAGAATGAAAGGGAAACAAAATGTTTTTAACAGTTTATTGATTCTGGCTCAAGATGTGATTTGATTATTTTTGAAGTTGCCCAGAAAAACAAAATCAACAACTCACTGTTTTTCCATCCTCACCAGGATCCCCCTGAAAAAAACAAAGTGAAAAATCAAACTTTCCATACTTTTCAAATAACTCAAATATTACCAAAACATCTAATTACTGGTTCTCCATCTTCTCCAGGAGGTCCCTGGGGGCCTGGTGGTCCAGGTGGTCCTTGAGGTCCAGGCACTTTTGAAGCAACCGATCCATCACTTCCAACTGAATACTCAGTCGCAGGTCCTGGGGGGCCCTGGGGCCCAGGGGGTCCTGGAAGGCCAGGCTCGCCCTTTTTGCCCTGATATCCAAACCCTGCGTTGCCCTGGAACAATGAAGCAGACGTGTTGAACAGAAGAGGAGAGAAAATAAACCACCTGCTGCTACAAGGCAGGATCCAAGGTACCTGGTCCCATAGGAGTTTCAAACCTGCAACTAGTTTACTATTAAATTAAAGTTAGCATTTATATAATGCACCAAAATCTTTACACAAATCTGATTTGAAAACAAACTTGTGTGTTTCATATCAAGCAGCGCTCCTTGCTTTGCTTTGGTGCAGAGTGCTTTAGATAAGATCCTCCCCTATGTTTTTATGCTGATTTTTTTTCTTAGCATTAAAAAAACAAAACATAGAATTGTCCTGATGCATCTCAGTAATCCAGAAAAAAAATCAAAAAGAAAAAAATWGTATAKGTCTTCTGGACGGGTTCTTCTCTAATGAAWCGTTTCGTCTCTCCTCCAAGAGACTTCTTCAGTCTGAGAGTTTCAGGCAAAATTCAGGCTTTTATGTCCTGCCTCCATGTGACTGATACTCACATCACATGGCTATCGTTGACACCTAATTAACACTTATTGTTAACAGTGGGTGGAGTGATACTGGCAATAGCCGCACTGTAGGACGGGGACAACTGAAAACGGAGGCCTCCACCTCTGTTTAATGATGGACGGTCTWTCTTCACAAAAATGGCTTCTTTTACTCCTCTCTCAAACCAACGTTCCTCTCTATCAAGAATGAGAACATCCTCATCTCTGAAAGAGTGACCGCTGGCCTGTAAATGAGTGAAAACTGCAGAGTTCTGGCCRTTAGATGTAGCTCGTCTGTGTTGGGACATTCTTTTGAACAGTGGCTGCTTTGTTTCCCCGATGTATAACTGGTCGCAGTCCTCCTGGCTTATGCTGTTAAGTGCCAGCGGTCACTCTTTCAGAGATGAGGATGTTCTCATTCTTGATAGRGAGGAACGTTGGTTTGAGAGAGGAGTAAAAGTAGCCATTTTTGTGAAGAAAGACCGTCCATCATTAAACAGAGGTGGAGGCCTCTGTTTTCAGTTGTCCCCCTCCAACAGTGCWGYTATTGCCAGTATCACTCCACCCCCTGTTAACAATAGGTGTTAATTAGGTGTCAACAATAGCCATGTGATGTGAGTATCAGTCACATGGAGGCAGTGCTTAAAAGCCTGAATTTTCCCTGAAACTCTCAGACTGAAGAAGTCTCTTGGAGGAGAGACGAAACGTTTCATTAGAGAAGAACCCGTCCAGAAGACCTTTACAATTTTTTTCTTTTTAAAATATATAATTAACATTAGCTCTGAATCTGTTGTAGAAAGCTACAAAACCTATGGAATAATATAAACTTTAAAATTAGGAAACTACAAACTCACCTTTGACCCTTTTTCACCAGGTTCTCCCTGAAAACAAAACAGAAAATTTTAGTTTATGTCTCCCTCTAGTGGACATTGAAGGCATTGCAGTTCAATCAGCGATGCCTAAAATTACAGTAAAATTACAGAAAAGGTCAGAAGAAAGGTATTAAAAGTATTGAAATGTTTACTTCTTGATTTAACCAATTATACTGAAAGTTTAATATATAAAAATGTGTTGTGTCTTTTCAAAAGATTTTTTAAATCATTTCTTTTTTTTTACAGAATCACCTCAGAATAAAATTTCTTTCAGAAATGAAAGTGTTCAGATAACAAAGGTCAAAACCCTCCTGTTCAGAAAGCTTTTTCAATTCAGTTTGGATTAATCACAACCTGGATGACAGAGACTCGTCACCATACGCTCAGATAATAAAATAAGACATCACAGGTCTGCAGACCTTGTCTCCACGGTTTGCCCCCTGTGAACGGGAGGCAGAACCCGATTCTCCCTTCGGTCCAATTGGACCTCGGTCTCCTTTCTCTCCTTTGTCACCCTTGTCGCCCTTCGCTCCTTTTGTAGCAACTGCACCTGGCGGACACAAACAAAGAACACAGTCAATAATAACCTTATTAAAACCTTTAGAAATTAACTGATTGTTTAGAAAGCATCAAACCAAACCGTTTCTGCTCCCAAAAGAAGCAAAAAGAGTAAAAGAAACCCACTTGTTTGATGAATCGAGAATCCTCTCATGCATTGCTGTAAATTTGTAATTTATAGAACATTTTAAGACGACAGATTTCTCCCATGCAGCTKTGACCCGCAGTGACCCAACATGCTCCCACTGCTTCAGTCACTTTCAGCAGAAACTACTTCAGCATGAATAAACTCATGTCAGGTTTGACAGCATTAATAAAGTTTACCAAATCATATTTTCTATTCCCTGTCTTACTATTATTTCTAACCAGACCTAAAAATCCTCCACCTTTCATGCACCTGGGTTAGACACCACCACCTCATGTGAATTCAAATTAAAAAATATTCGTATGTTTCTGTGGATTTTAAATGTCCTTTATGAGCAGCAGCAGAGCAACAGGACAGAGAGGATAAGAGAAGCTGGATCTGGATACTTTCTGCCCACCTGCTGCACCAAGTCGTCTGGATTCAGCTGAAACTAAAAAGTGCTCCGAGTCTCCAGCTGAGCACACAGAAAACAGAGTTACTTTTTTTTTCTCCTGAATGACAACTTGGCAGCTAATCTGCTGCTATTCTGTCAGTTAAAGTCCTAAATAAGAACTGTAAAGTTTTCTACAAAAAAAAAGGTAAAATATGTGCACTCCATGAGTAGTCTCAAAAGAGCAGAACATACAGAAAAAAAAAGATCTACAACTTTAGGTTTTCCTCTAAATTAATCTAAAACTGACTAAAAGGCCTGGTACCAGATGTTGTGTTTTTGTTATCTGATAAACAGATTCTCTGATTTAAAAAAAAACAGTTTTGCAGAGATGGTGTGAAAAATGTGCAAAATCTGCACAGTTTATAACAGAAAAGGCACAAAAAAAACAGAAATGTGAATACACTGTTTTCACCACATTTATAAGTCTAACTGAATGTGATATTTTACACACATAAACAAAACTAACTTCCACTCACATCTATAAACATTTATGATTGCAGAATTCCCCCCAGATCTGTCAAAATCAACCATTTGTGCCACAACTGAACAAACATGACGCTGAAACCAACAACAAACAGAAAGTGGAAACTAAAGGGTGTGAGCAAAGAGCAAACTGGAGTCATGAATGAAATGAGCAGGCATGATCAAAATCATAATGARGGAATCTAAAAWAAAAAACAATTACATCATAGGACAAAAAAAAGCATTAAAATTGCAATAAACCCAGCTCCACAGAACRAGCTCGGAAACCTAAAACAGCTGCATCAGTCAGATATTAGCTAATTTTCAGTTCTGTTGGATGTGTTAAAGCATGTCACTGCAACAAATAGACCTATAATTCACAGATCCAAAACTGGTTCAACATGTTGAATCAACTATAAGCTGCATTAAGATGATCCAGTGATGCTCAGAGTCAAGACAAGTGACGCAAACATTTCTGACCACCCATCAGCTCGATGCAAAAAGGCTCCTAATTTATCTTCTTGTTGAAAATCATCCCGACATTTTACTCTTTTTGCATAAACTCACAACTGAATAACAGCTGAAACTAATTCAGAAAAAAAAGCTGAATAGATAACTTGACTAATTTAATTTTTCAGTTTTATGTCCAAACACATTTCTAAAAATGTTAGGTCTTTGTGTGAACTATAAACAAAGTGCACATTTTTTTATATTATGGTTGTATCAAGAGACACCTAACAAATTTGTGTAAATAATTTTAAACTTCTTGTTCTTTTCCTGGAAATGAAAAACAAAACCACACTGGGTGGTTAAACTTCCAGCAGCTGCAATAATCAGTTTGTCCACTAGATGGAGACATTTCATTATGGCTCAGAAGGATGAAGAATGCTGAGACTGGTGTAAATTTTCCTTTTTGCTGAACAAATAAACAAAGCTATTAATAACCTTGAAAAAAAACACTTTTTTAGCCCAAAATCTTAAAATGTAAATAATCATAGAGATAATATTTGACAGATCTAATGGTTATATGAAATAATATAATCTCGGCAAGAACTAATATAAAAAAAAACAATGATAATAAACAGATGAGAAACATAAAGTATGTTTTCAGATTTAATCTCACCAGTCTCTCTGATGCTGGCATCCTCTCCTTTTATCCTCAGAGGCGGCTGCGGGATGGGCGGAAARGACGGAGACGAAGTCTGCAAAAATTAAATATTTCAAGTAAAACAAATAAAAAATAAATAAACGGTTTTAAAAATGTCAGYGGGTGACTTGTTACTGGAAACTGGCCTCGTTTCCACCTCCCACGCGGAGGACTTTGTAAACAATATTCTTTCATGGGAAAAAAAAGTTTCTCCTTGTAAACATTAATCACAAACCAGAATGATTCATGCTCTGCGCCGCTTTAATGTTTAGAGATCCGTTGTACAAACGATCAAAAATGGCTCCCAGTTCTTAAACAAGCCTTTCAGCAGAACGGAACATGGTGGTAATCACCGTCAAGATATGTTGCAGAACTTTCTGTGAACCTCATTAATGCTGCACAAGAACACATACGATGTGAAACACACAGATTTATGCAGTATTTTCTAAAGTACAGTATATCTTAAATGCATTTGCGGCCATACCACCCTGAACGCGTCAAATCTCATCTGCTCTCAAAAACTTAGCAGAGTCAGGCCTGGTTAGTGATTGGATGGAAGACCACCTGGGATTGCCACGTCTTTCTTCATTCAAGACAAAGATACCAACATACATCAGTGATTAAAGCTGCAGGTTAAATAAATAAGTATTTTTTTAAATCCTGTTATAGTGCCTGAAAAGTMTTGTCCTTTGTGTAAAACGTGTTAATAAATTAAAGAGCTGTCATTAAAGCACAATGAAAAATATCCAGTTTCTATTTAAAATATAGTTTTTCACTGCAAAAACTGTCCATCTTACCAAGTTTTAAAATCTTATATCAGCCAAAAAGTCTTTTTGATCACATTTTGAGACTGATTTACTAAACAAGAACTGATTGTGTAAGAATAATAATCTTGTTTTCAGAATGTGTAAGATTATTTGTCTTGTTAATCTAAAAATTTGATTCAAATTAAGTCAAAAATATCTGCCAATGGAGTAAGAAAATTTTACTTGGTAAGTTTCTTGAAATACTTGATTTGACTCAATTTTTTCTTATTTCAAGAATCTTACCAAGTAAAATTTTCTCACTCCAAAATTTAATATTAGAGGGAGTTTATTTATTTTTGTTTGCCATTTATTTAAAGTGACTGCAGCTTTATGAAACCCTCCAATTCTACTCTATAAGTTACAAGCAAACTAGCACCCAGTCAGTGTTGTATAAAGTACCCCAAAGTGATACTTGAGGAAAAGTACAAGTATCTTATCATAAAATTACTTTGGTAAATTTTAAAGTCTCCTCTAAGAATATTACTTGAGTAAAAGTCTTAAAGTATCTGCTTTATTTTGTACTTAAGTATCAAAAGTAAATTTCTGAAATAAAATGTACTTAAGTATAAAAGTAAAAGTACTGAGTAAAAAGGAGAGGTTAGATTTTCCAAATACATTTTTAAAGGCGTGCAGCTGTGATGGTTTGTGTACAAATTAATGTGTCAGAATGGTATATATTTATACTTCTTATCCAACCACAATTAAATGCACAGTTTATCRGGACATAATTTATTTATTATTTTTTATAACTATAACAAGCCAGAATGAAATAGGATTAATGGCTTTCTACTTCTTACCTTTTTTTTTAAATGTAGGGAGTAGAAAGTACAGATAATTGTGTAAAAATGTAATGATTAGAAGTAAAAAGTTGGCTGAAATAAATTTACTCAAGTAAAGTACAGATAGCCAAAATTTCTACTTTAGTACAGTAACAAAGTATTTGTACTTAGTTTCTTTACAACTCTGCAGCCAGTGAATTTTATGTTTAGAAATGGGGTGTGTGTAATCACAATACTTTCTTTTATAAAATTATTACAATTCTGGGGGGCTTAGGAACATTTTACTTTTAGAACTAATGACATTTATGATTTTGCGTGTGTGTCTTCAGGAAAGACGAGGTAGTTGATGTCAGTAGTAGCTAACATCGGGACATAGCTTCATGTTAGATGTGCTGCCATTTACTCCAGGTAAAAGAAACTTCAGTGAAAAATACTTTGATAAACAGCGAYGGTGTATCCTCATAATTGTAAACAACAGCACAAGTGGAGGATAAAACTGACTGCCGCTATAAATTATGGGTAGTGGCRCGAATTCAGGAGTACTGTGGATAGATTTGGTGTGCTAGTAGCTGAGAGTCATCTGCAGCACATATGCTGAAGGTTAACAGATTGCATCACATCAGTGTTAAAAAAATGGGGTTCCTTCAARGAGCTCTACTTTAATTAGATTTGTCTTGAGTTGCTTTTATTTAATGATAAATAAAACACATGTTGTGGTTGGAAGACAAGAAAGARGAGACAGACTGACTGGTTGCATTTTAGTTAAAATAGAAAAAAACAAATAATCAGTCTTCAGCAGTGACATGCCTCAAATGAAAAAGGGGAGAGTGAAGAAACATGAAGAGCGAATATCTGATCGAAGTGCAAAGGAGCCCCCCCCCCCCCCCCCCCATGCCTGGGGGTCGATAATTAACCTCTTTTTGTCTGGGGAGACATTCCTGCCTTGGTGTTGCGCAGCACTGACTACACTAAGAATCCTGCCACACCATCACTGACTGTTGGGAGTTGATTTATGAATTAATGTGATGAAGAATGCCCCGCTTGTTTTCCCTGCGTCCATCAGGGATTGACGGGTGGGGGGTGGGTGGGACGCTCACGTCCTTTTAGAAGACGGTGTTGATGGATTTGAACTAAAGTACCTCCTGAATGTAAGAGCATGAAAGTAAACATGTTTCACCTCTGCAGCTGTGGAGAACAGTGGGTTGGACAACATGGCCCCCTGAATGATCACAAAGAAAGAAATTAAACTGAAGTGTTGGCCTGAATGTGAAGGAAAAACTCTCTGTTTATGAAATGTGGAAACAAAGGTTTGGGTCTTTTGCGAAACACAAAGCAATCAGATGAGATCTGAGCAGATTTCCACCCAAACAACGTTATGAGTCATTTATTCACTGCTAAAAAAAACATGTTCAAAACATTTAAAGACCAAACTTRTCAAAGCATAAATGGTTTTCACAGTAGTTAACTTTGTGCTTTATTGTAGCCCTTTAAAGGGATCCCCAATCAGTACTAACATTAGACTTTATTTGATAAACATTTATTTTAACTGTAAAATAAAGACTGTAAAAATACTGTAGGATGTTTAGTTTTTATAATTTTTAAACTAAAAGTTTAAAAATATATTACACGGACGTGGCCATTTTATTTACACACAAAGCATTCTGGGTAAATGATGACGTGGATAGGTCCTCGGTGYGAGGCTGCTAGCGAGCTATATCCACCCTGAAGGTTAATCTTGGACAATATCTGATGATCGACTCTTTTAAATGAAACCAGAGAGTGTTGACAGAGAGGAGAAGGTAGAAATGACTCAGCCTGGAACTGAAAATATGGATGGAGGACAACAGAGCTGCTTCATGGAAGAACAACCTCAGCTTAGCCTGTTAGCTTTAGCGTTAGCTCCGATGCTATCACCATATATATGTATTAGCTCAGCGCTACACATTCTCCTCTCGTCACTGAGGTCCTCCATCCACATGACAGAGAGGGGAACACAAAAATGACTCAGCCTGCAACTGAAAATATGGATGGAGGACCTCAGATTAGCTTGTTTGTCGCGCTAGCGCCGAGCTAAAACATATAAGGCAATATAGTGTCTGCGCTAGCGTAAAGGCTAAGCTGAGGTTGTTCTTCCATGAAGCAGCTCTGTTGTCCTCCATCCATATTTTCAGTTCCAGGCTGAGTCATTTCTACCTTCTCCTCTCTGTCAACGCTCTCTGGTTTCATTTAAAAGAGTCSATCATCAGATATTGTCCAAGATTAACCTTCAGGGTGGATATAGCTCGCTAGCAGCCTCGCACCGAGGACCTATCCAGGTCATCATTTACCCAGAATGCTTTGTGTGTAAATAAAATGGCTCCGTCTGTGTTAAAATATATTTTAAAAAATTTACAAAACTAAACAGCCAGTATTTTTACAGTTTTTATTTTACAGTTAAAATATATGTTTATCAAATAAAGTCTAATGTTACAACTAATCAGGGATCCCTTTAAATGTGTGAACAAGAATAAGAGACACTTTGATTCAAATAGTGACACCGTTAAAAACGTCTTCCTCGCCCTTTCATCTATCACCTCTAAATTCCAGGGTGACAAAATGGAAAGTCTCACTTAAACTCTCCCTCTCTGCCTCGCCTGTGCCCAGACTTGCAGTAATTACACCGCCTGGACGGTTGAAGAAGCTCCACGTTGTGAACAGATCCTCGTCAGATGGAAAAACATTGGCAGGTGGACATTAAACACCAGCTGTTTCCCAGAACACGGCATCACGGTGGAACATGTTGAAGGAAATAAGACCCTCGTAAAACGCAATAAGATGAAACTCTGTGAACGAACCACCTGACCTCGCCGTTTCCACCTCTCTCGGTTCCTGAGCCCACAGCTGATTAGGAAGCCAGTCAGTCGAGGCCTGGGGGCAGGGGGGAGCTCTGACTTGGATCAAATGCACATCTGGCTTTTGGAACGCCACTGTGATTGTCATCCTAACCTGCATGAATATTATCTGAGGGCCAGAGGATGGGGACGTGGGCGTCTGTGGAATGTGATGGGCAGAGAGGGAAAGCTAAACGACAAAGTGGGAGGAGCTAAAATAAAAGAGTGGCAAAAAGGGATTAAAGCGAGTAAGACAAGAGATTCAAAAAAACGTCTGGAGTGAACAAGACTTACACGTAAATCTCTAACTTTAGCAGCGTTTGAGTTTTAAACCACAAACGTTTCCTTTCCGGTGTTTAAAAAAGGAAAGAAAACGTTTCTTTCCGCAAATGTCAAAGACAGATGCAGCTCGGTTTTCAGACGTCAACTCAGCAGTTTTCATTCTTCCTTCAAGGATAAACTCACAGAGCAACGTAAAGCTTTAAGGATACATCTCATGCAGAAAAGTATTTTACTAATATTCACTGTAAAAAGCCAGATGTCTTTTTTTGTCTTATCTGTGAAGGAAACAAGGTAGAACTCAATGCCGAAACATTGACTGGTGCCTCTGCCTGCCCAAGAATCAACTGAAAGCACCTTTTTATCTTTATTTGTAGATTAAATATTCAAAGTAGGTAAATGTATCAATATGACTTCCTATTTGATATTTATTGTTTCATTTAAGCAGGTATTTTATTTGTACTGTTGAGGAATAAAAAAATCATAGTTTTATATTACTCATCATCATAAATGACCTTTGACCCTTTGATGCCCAAATCTAATCAGAGTACTACCCTGATGAAGTTACTATACCTATTTATAAGTAAATATATAATTTCATTCAGGAGATATCGTGCACACAAGACCACCTGTGATGGACGGACGCCGCACTAAAACGCAGACAGCCAGAGAACAGAATGCCTTCAACCCCCAGTGGGCGGAGCCATAAAAACAAACTAGTTACAGACCAGTGTGATAAATAACAGACAAATGTTCCATACCGTGTATCTGGGCTTGTCCCTATAATGGTTTGAGAGTCTGGTTTCTTCATTGCCACTTCCTTCTCCTGAAGCCTGAGGACCAAAAGCACAGTTAACAGYTCTGCTTCATGAAACATAGCTAACCTGAGGATGATCTGTTGCCCTGCTGTTCCTGGTTATTAAAATAAAGCATGTCTATTGTTCTGTGGTGGGTTCCCTGAAAATGGTGCACCTGTGATCAACTCACCACATCTGAGTCATCTTCGTCTTCCTCACAGAGCCTCTCGACAGGGCGGGCGTCTCCCACCACCCTCAGCTCACTGATCACTCCCTGTTGGAAAACATGTCATTGGTGTTTGGATGTTTGATGAAACACATTCCTGTCAGAATGGCACTCGCGCGCACACACACACACACACACACACACACACACACACACACACACACACA